AAAGATGGGAAGCCTAAAGAAATGACAGATGACCAGTGGGAGGAGCTGGAGTCGCGTTGTGTTAGCACGATTCGACACTGCATAGCTGATAACATTATCAACAATGTTATGGATGAAGATTCTGCGCCTGCACTGTGGGAGAAGTTGGAAAAACTCTATATTGCTAAGAGTTTGACCAACAAGTTACATCTGAAGAGGAAGCTGTACAAGCTGAAGATGGATGAAGGCGGGAATCTCATGGACCACATGAATGTGTTCAATGGATACTTGGATCAATTGAGGAAAGTTGATGTTAAGGTTGAGGAAGAAGATAAAGCCCTCTTACTTCTTACCTCACTTCCAGATTCGTATGAGAATCTTGTGACAACCTTATTGCATGGAAAAGATACAGTAAGTTTGGAGCAGGTGCAGGCTTCATTGGTGTCTTATGATACACAAAAGAGGAAGACCATTGTTGATGGTGGGCACGAGACTGCTTTAGCTGTTCAAGGTTGGAATCATGGAAGAAAATTGGGAGGAGGATTTGAGATAGACAGCAGGTTCAAATCAAGCTCCAAAGGCAAGGGACCACAATGCTATAACTGCAAAGAATTCGGGCATAAAAAGATAAATTGTCCTTTGAGAAAAAGAAAGGATGATCTTGGTCCAGGTAGCAGCAATTTTGTGGCGGAAGACTTCGAGTATGCCCTCTAGGTACTCGAAGCAACACATCTCCTGGTGATGTATAGTCTCAAGTGTTGCAGGGGGTTTTGCAGCAGGTGGAGCTATGGGATTCACAGGTGATGAAATGGTCCTGAAGAATGAGAAGTGTGAGGAATGTTTGTCTGACTCGACGGGTGTTGCTGGAAATGGGTGCACTGACAAGTTTCCAAGTTGCAGACAATGAGGAGGAGGAAAACCTGCTGGAGGAGACAAGGATGTGTCGAGATCCTGTCTGAAGCTAAATGGTTTTTTTTGCTTGCAGCAGCTGCACATGCATTGGCAGTGACTGAATCGGAACAGGACCAACGAGGTTGATTCAGAGTGTGCATGCTAGTACGTAAGGCCAATGGACTTTGGTACAGTTCAAGTCTCTGTGATGTTTTCGAAATTTGACCAAGGTGGAGATTGTTGGATAGTGGCCAAATTAGGCTAGGAAACAAAACAATATTGATGAGGGAACATCATGATGAGGATTATGTTTCCTTGTTTTGTGGCTTGTTTTGTTCCTTGTTTTGTGGCTTTTCTTGTTCCTTGTTTTGTGGCTTTTTCAAAGCCATAATTATTTGGCTTTCGGGTGGAAGAAAGGAGGAGAAGAAAAGGGGCTGATTTTTATTTAAATGCTTGCCAAGTGAGAGAGTAAGCATCATGGAAGCATCCAAGGGGGAGAGCATCCGGCTCTCCCATGGGAAAGGTTGAACATGGGTTGAGAGAAATTAAGAGAGGTAGGGTGATAGATCTCTGGTGAAAGAGTTCTTAGGGGTAGAGTGAGGCTCTTGGGAAAATTCTGTGAGTGGGTGTACAAGGGATATGGGATTGGGTTATGTCGATTTAACTCATGTGTAACTTGTACTGTTTTTCTCATAGTGAAGAGCAATATCTCTCCGAGGACGTAGGCAGGTTTTTGCCGAACCTCGTAAATTTCTCGGTGTCTTTATTTCTTGTATTTTAAACTATTCAACTGTGGGTTTGTATGTTGGTGAGATAATCAGCCAAGGCACAACAACCTGGTCAGAAGGCAGTCTTGAAGAAGAAAGGTAAGGAAGTCATAAATCTTTATAATTCAATTTCTTGCACTGATGATAAGAATTTTGAGTTCCCCTCTTTAAACAATTGTTAGGGTCATATTATATGCATGTTTTATACCTCTTTTACTTATTATTTGGTCATGATTTTATATTAAATTGGTGAGTTTGATATCTTTTGTGTGAGTTTTGTAGAAATAATGGTCGGAGATAAGTGTGAATTTTTAATTATAAGGAAAGTACGAAGGAATAAAGAAGTGGACTGCTGTTATGTGAAAGTGTTGCTGAAATTTGGGTTTTATCAAATTAAGTCCAATTTGGGCTTCATAAAAAGTGGCGGTTGGACTTTTCCAACAAGGACAAGGATTCTAATTCCTTATTAGGAGGCAGACCAGTGGAAAATATAAAAGGAGAATTGAGAGCCCAATCGGGGTGTGCCATGACAATTACCATGAGTTACGTAATTGAGTAGACATATTGGTTATGATTTGTGTAGTATTTTGAAATTATCCATTGAGCGTAAAGGGTTTCGGTTATCTATATCTGCGGCTAGACATAGAATGGGTAGATAGTTAGAAACACGGTTAGTATATTCTGACAAGAAATATTGACGTATCAAGGGATAATTGCTAGCAACATGGGAATAATATGATGTTAATATGAATAAAGGGATTAGATGGGATTGAGAATGAGGAACCTGATGTCCTAGTGCTTCTATATATTAATCTTTTATAATTCATTCACTTTTACTTCGTGTTCGATCAATTATTATTTTTACTTTCGTTTCGTTTCTTCGCATATTTGAAGTTGTCATCGTAATCCTTCTTTTATTTAAGTTTAGTTTGAAGTCAATCTCAATAGTAAATTTAGGTTAATTCGATCCTTGTTTGAACGACACTCTACTTATCACTATATTACTTGGACAATATTGTACACTTGCAAATTATCAACAACAACAATCCCAGTTAACTTTATAAAGAAACAAGTTGGATTAGGAATTGGTTTGTAAAAGTTAAGCTTCTGCTTCAAAGATTTGTCAACCTCTTCTTTTACTAAAAGCAGAGGAAAATGAGCAGAAAGAGAAATTTGATGCTACGTACTCATTATCTCTTTCCCGTAGTTACGCTCCATTTGTGAAGTAGAAATAATGGGATTTTCCAAGGATTGGTGTTTCTTATACTCGAATGAACAGTGAGCAAGCTGGGTTGGGGACTAGTTACTCGGGTTAAAATTTAAATCTTTACGTAGCTGCATCTCCAATACCTTTGATGTTGAGCCTCTCCTGAATCTGATGATAACCGACATTTAACTACAAAAGTTTTCTTTGTATCTCCTGGATATTTGTTCTAGTTTTATCCTTCATTTTTGATATTTTGGCTTGTGTAAATCCATGTTTGTTTTGCTTTTCAATTTAGTAATATCGATTGAAACTTTAATTTATAATCTCCACGCCATGTGATAGAACAAATTCATTTCTCAGTTGACTTACTGGTGATGTAAAACAGGGATCAAGACGAGGAACTCTTATTCGTTGGGTGATCAATATGTGCATTTCAATGTCAGCATTCCAACGTAAGTTATCCTGGTTCCAAACAACTTTTGTTAGTAGTCCGTTTTATATGACGTTCTAATGTTAACCTCTGTTTGACCATAATGAGCTATCGAAACACTGTTTTGTATATATAACTCGGAACTTGAGACTTGTAACTGTGCAGGAATCTGACTCAAAGGCAACGCAAATTAATTGAAGAGTTTGGCAAAGAAGAAGAGGGGGAATACGGTAAATGTGCAGCTGCGGGGGCATCTTGACGAGATCGGCATGGAGAGGGTTTCGTTGTTTAGATATAGCTGTAAGGACAAGGAACTTTCAAAAAAATTATTTCCGACCTAGAGAAATTTCAAATAGTAACTTTGAGCCGATCAACGGATAACAAATTACTTGCCTATAGGCTTAGGAGGAACTTTTCCGAACCTCACATTAAATTATATGGGGACAGGAGGAATCTTTTTTTTTGTCTATTACTTACACAAGATAAAGAGGAATCTTCTTTACATCACAATCAGCTCTTACTTGACAATCAGCCCTTACTTGACAATCAAATTATTCTAGATAAGATTCCTTACTTTCCAATACGTCAAATACTATTATACGATTCCTCATGTCTGCTTGTCACATCTTGTCTTATCACATTCCACCACGCTTCCGCATGCTTCAATCCCATCCATCATTAGGGCCAAAATTATTGTGGAGTGGGTTTTGAATTCTTACTGTTGGGAAGGATCAACAATGGAGACATCTAAAACACCCTAATCAAAATTATTTTGGAGTAGGTGACACCAAGTTGTTGTTTGGTGGGTCAGCCATAAAGTGTTGTTCATGTATCCGAAATTGTAAAAGATGAAGTTGGTGAGGCCTATATGCAGAAATTGGTCATGTTGATCTGTTGAGTGAATCTTTCACCACCACTAAATTACTAATCTAAACCAGCAAGTTTTCTCAGATTTCGACACGTGTTGAGTATTTCATTTGGGATAGTCATATGGCAGTTGCAGAGATAACAGACGCCTTCCTTAACCTGTTGGTGTTAGAAGACTCCAACTCCAATCAGCCAAAATGGAGTGAAAACAAGGTCATCATTCCCGTGACATGTCCTACGAATGATCCACTTTTAAAGACAAATTTAGTGCTTTATAAGCGCGGCGACAAGCCTAGTAAATAGTTTAGAATTTTTTTTCGTTAGACAAATATTCTTCTTGTTTCCTCAATTTTTTTGCTCATCGAGTGTAAATGGTTATCGATACTACCTATCAAGTTAGTTGTGTAGTTGACACAAGTCGTATATATGATCGGTGTTGATGGTGGTGGTTGTAGTGACGTTTAACAGTGGCAACGGTTATGGCTGTTGCTCGTGGTAAGGTGGTGCGGTGGAGGCCGAATGTGGTAGTAAGTGCGGTGGCAACAATGGGCATGTGGCCACGGCACAAGTGCGGCCATGTTAGCTTCTTCACCAAATTTGAGCTCCCTTGGGATCGAACATTACACTTAATGATAGACTTTAGACGAACTTATGAACTCCAATTTTCATGTTCTTTTTCTTAAACGAATCTAAATTTTTCAGTTTATAAATCCAAACAAGATGGTACACGTCAAATTAAACATTTTAAACATTCGTAAGCCTCAGAGTCCGAAAGCAATTTTAACAAGCATATGACGAACAAACAATTTGCAGTCGACCTTTGTCAAATTCAATTTATTCCATTTTCAAAGCACAGAAATAACCGAGGGAAGGCTGATTAATTCTTCAATTAGGAAAATAATCATGGCAGTTTTACATATAATACCTTGAAATGATACATTTATGTCGCAACTCCGTTCAAATAATACTTTAAACTTGACTAAATATAAAATAACGGAAAGTAAAAAAATGTCAAACTGAAATTTTCCATCCGTCAGTGTTAGGGCAAATTACAGTGAACCTACTCGCTCCAGTAGTTGCTCTTTTTTTTTGCCTGAATAAATCTGCAAGCCCGCGGTTATTATTCCAAAAAATTACAGGGAAAATCCACAACTTCCATGCACTAGTTTCTAATCCTCAAAACCGATGGAAAATATTGTTACCTCAAAAGACCAAAACCTCACAAAGAAAACCGACCTTGGTGTCGATCAACAAAACTCTGATGCACAATATTTCAAGATGCGGCTTTGGTTTTCGATTTCTGTTTCTTGCCGTCCAGTGTTGCTAAACCTTTGCCCTAGTCCAACTGGAGGCTGACCTTCCTGCTCCGTTGTTGATTGCTCTGTTTCACATCAGTTGAGCCATTTGCAGGATGACCATTGGCTTCCTTCACTCCATCAGTTTCTCCATTTTCCACTGCAACCGGTGGGATTGCACCTGAATTGATGATATCGAGTAACTGAGGAAGTGGAGGCACAGCTTGGATGGGAACACCGTGCGGGCGTATCAAGAGGCCCTTTGCTGCTGCCTTCTTCCTGACTTCAGCTGCTGCACGAGCAGCCCTCTCATCAACTCCCCGACCTCGTGGAAGGGTTTCACCAATTATTGCAGCATTAAGAGATTTGTTGGCGGAAGGGTTAGAGCTCCCAGACCCACCGGCTACGGCAGCAGATTGGAATGCCTGCATCAAGTCAGGATGGGCCAGACATGCAAAGTCGATTATTAATTGGAAATCGAGATTCTCGGTGTAAACTATACCCCAAACACAAATCAGCGTGGTTTGACAGTTTAAGATCACTGTCATGGAAACATTACACAATTCCCTCCATCTCACAGTTTTCTCTTATTCTTTTCTGACAAAAGATTCTGACAACACATTCGAAATATTTTATGTGCAGAAGCATTAGGAGACAAACTAGTTTTTTGGGCCATCTTTCACGGGAAATTAAAAAAATGAAAATATGTAGAGCAGAAATAGGAGAAATGAAACGATGAGGCCATGACTTAGGAAGCATACCTAAAAAACAAACCGCGAATTATCCTTCAATTGAACAAAATTCCAAATTTTTAAGCAAAAAGAAGCATCCAAACTACCTTCAAGATGTCAATTGCCTTTTGAGCCGAAGCAGCATTCAAAGCTTGACCTTTTTGCTTTTGTGCATTCATCTATTGGAAAGAAAAAAAATACCAAATATAGAAATCAGAAACAAATACTTCTAGTATATACATTATGCAATCACCCATCAATATCTATTCACTGTTGTGAGTTGCTAAAGGATGCCATCCATTTACCTGTAGCTCGCGCATCTTAAATGTCTTCATCCAGTTTTGAGAGTCACGTGTTCTAGAATCCTCCTCGCCCAATTGTTTGACTAGTATGTCATAAGTTTTCTTCTCATGCTGCCACACCAAATGTTATATAGTATGTTAATTGTACTCTAAAGTTGCCCAATGTATGGAATGAAATTGTTCTTTATCAAGTGAATATTACATTAGAAGGAAAACCACAAAAGTCACTATATTCTTCCACAACATACCTGGTGAGAGAGCTTGAAGGCACCCATACAATTAAATGCAATAGCAAGCGCGTGATAGCATACAGCAGTCTGGATGTGCTCCTCCCCTAGAAGCCTTTCATTTTTTTTCAGAGCCTCTTGCAAATATCGAAGAGCAGTGTCCATCTTCCCAAGATCCTGGTACATCATAGCGACATTAATGAAAGTTGCAGCAACATCAGGGTGATCTGGGCCCGATGACAAACTTAGCAGAAGCAATGCCCTTGACATGTGCCGTAGTGCAAGTTCTGTCTGGTTAAGTCCATGGTAGAAAAGAGCCATATTTCCATAGCTGCAGTAGCAAAGTTGCAAACACAAGGAGAGCATCAGATTCAGGAAAAGAGGAGTGAGAAATAGAGAGAATAATGTCATCCACGATATGCTTGTCTGAACACTGATACTACTATACAGGTTAAGAAAACATAAAAACACAAATAAACAAATTCATATTTGAGGAGAAAACAAACTTCTCATGCAAGATAAAAGAATTTTTAAATTGATTATGACACTACATCCACTATAAACATATAGGATGGGTACTTTCATACCTCACTGTAAATCAAGATATCAAAACACAACCAATCTCATCAAGTTCCAATATTAACACATCTTAAGAAAAATGTAGAGCGACAATCTTTATAGTAATCCTCAAAATAGCAACCGATTACGAATTTCAATAATTAACAGCTTGAGTTTATATACTGTCAGAAAATAAAAAGTAATAAGGAAAATTATATTGAAAATATCTATGCAACCACCATCTTAGCAACAGAAACAAGTATAAACACCAAATGCAATACCTGTGAGCAGTGTCAGGGTGGTCTAGGCCAAGGCAGCGTTCATTTATAATTAGTTCCTTATGCTGTTGCATTATGGCTCCAGCCATGTCTCCCGCATGATACAGAACCATGGCAAGATACCTGAAACTCAGCGCAGCAAACGCTTAGCTCAGATGTTATCAGCATCATGAATATCCAATTAGAAATATAAAAAATCTGCTGAACAGTATAAAGAGGTTATGCATACCGACAGCAGTTAGCAACCTCCCTATGCATTGGACCAGTAACCTGAAATCGCAAAAGGATATAATAGTGCTAGACATTGACGCACCGAGGAAAGTTTGAGAAAACAACCCAAATAATATTACTTACCTGCTGAAGTATTGAAAATGCCTCGGTAAATAATGTGTACGCTTCACTTAACATTCCCTAGAAGGAAAACAAAAATGCACGGTAAATAATTAAACCACATTAGCATTGGAACATGATGTTGACAACAATTAACTGATAGTAGATCTTTATAGATTCTTCTGGTGAACAATTCCAAATTAATAAAAATCCTACCAACATAAAGTTGAAAAGCATATATTTCAGAAAATTGCAGGAAAGATATTTCTTTTCATGGTAAATGCAGCATCTTTATATTTTAATATAAGGACCATATGCCATTTTAGATTCATGGTAGATATCCCAGAACTAGAACATGCACAAATATAAGCCCTGAAATTCTTCATTATATTCTAATATAAGTTTTTAAGTCAGTCGTGTTCATCTTTGAGAATTAGCTCTAACTTCAAGGTTCCCACAGAAAATTATATTCTGGTCGATACGTTTCCTTCACATCTGGAATCTGATGCTATAGTGACACCGCAATAAAGTGCATACCTCGGCCAGTTGGATCTTTCCTGTTTCCACAAGATCCTTAGCTTCTGAACAGACAGGAACTGAATGTTTCACTACAGGTTGAAGATTTAAGATATCTGACATTTGGAAAGGTGCTGCAGAATTAAGATCATATCTGCGAGCTGCTATTGTAATGCCCACCTGCAAAATGAAATCAAAGTCGAGTTGTTGGCCATTTAGAAGTTCAATTGATATTGGAATTGGAACAAAGATAACGTATAACGGAATCTAGAGTTACCTTTTGGCAAAGATTACGTATAACAGAATCTTTCTTTACACGCATCCTAGCATCCTCCGGCAGCTCAAACTATCAACAATGGGAAACTAGGTAAAAAAAAAATATAATGATACACACCACTCAAAGGTATCATATGAGGATCAAATAATAAACATGAAGATCCACCATCCATAAGTCCATTAACTTCTACAGCTCAGGAAATGGCAAAACGCCATGAAACAACAGGGAAAAATGTTCCATGCCACAAATGATATGTTACTGGAAATAAAATCACCAGCAAGATCCCCATGAAGTGTACATATTTTTCAAAAAAATGTAAACTGTCGAAGAGGAGGGTGCAGAAGCAGATAAACTCGAGCAACTGGGCAACCAAAAGAAAATTCAAGAAAATGCAAATTCCTTATGCCAAAATTTTCATTTTTTGGAACATCCACCAAAAGGTTATTAAAGAAAATCTAATTTCTCCAGAAGAAACCAATATTATTGATAATTAATACCTGATATTTGAGTTTTGCAAATTCTTGAATGTCGGACCATAGAGTTTCTGAGCTAGCAAGCATAAATGAGGATCGACTCTTTCTAGCAGATACTCCATCCTTCAATTTTCCTTGTCCCTTAGACGATTTTCTTGGAGATTGCTGTCCTGTTTGTTCCTGAAGATAAAAAGGAACTTGAAGTCACAAATCCTGCTCAACATTTGTCAATTAGTAGATGAAATTTTCTCTGGTTTACTTGGTACAACTTTGTGATTCTCCAAAAGTACATATTAATATTCAAAATGCATATAGTTTCAATTTCCGATTGCAGGTTCTCAGATGAGCATTAAGTGATGACAGAGATAAAAATTTAGCTGAGAACAGCCATGAAGTTGTACAAAGAAGCTATAACTTGTAACTAAGAAAAAATTTTGACACAAATTTTTTTCAATAAGTTGGTACTGTTAATTCTACAAGACTTACCTTTTTGGGCGTTCTAGACTGCATATTATTAGCAGCAACTTTTGAGCCAACGGCTTGACAGCTTCCAAAGAAACAGTTGAAGAAATGGGTGATTGCGGGCCCAATATCATGATCATTTGTTTCTCTCAAGGCATCCTGCAGAACAGGAAATGAAAACTATGAACCACTTTCAACCAAACATCGATGACCTCATTGTTTTTACTTTTTACAATTACTGGACAATAATTATGAAAGTCAAAAGGATGGAACTAAAATGATATTTAACACCTATGATATATATAACCCATCCAAGTCAACTGTTTCCCAATCAAGTCCTTGGACCAAAATAATAGCGTCAAAGTACAAATTGGCACATTACATAACAAGCAACAAGGTCTCGCACAAATTGATATTTTTCAGTGGATGTCCCTGAATATAGGAGCTCAATTCAATCATGAAAAGCTACAGTTCAAATTGAAGTAAAATAAATGTACAAACTGCTTTGCAGGAAAGCATATCTGACGCATAAAAATTCCAAAACTGTAACAGCTAAATGGATGCTGTTTTAATCATCAGACAGGAAACTTGCAAGGATATTTCTTTGCCAAATCTGTCTATGTATGTATTAAGCAACAAATCAAAATGCACAAACTATCCGTTTATAACTCAGCATAAGTCCAAATAAAATATATCACACTACTGAAGTTCCTTATGGGACAAGGTCTCCGCCATTAAAGTATCTAAGTCACATGCATTATGATTTGCATTCTCAACTGCAACCCGAATCAAATTGCTTAGTGTATAACTACAACAAAGGTTTTATGGCAGTAACATGCTGTAAGATGCCACATTTCCAGGTCCTCAACAGGATAATTTTCACTTACAAAATAGTAAGGAATATCATAACATGAAAACGAGCAGACATTTACAGCTTAAGCATTGGTCCCAAAAAAAATATATCACATTACGGGAGTACCCGAGAGGTCAAGTTCCCCACTCCTATAGTATCTAAGTCACGTAGGCATCATTGGTCTGCACTCGAAATTAAAATCTGACATCATAGGAGTTGTGTCCCTCCTAGGGAACGGAATCAAATAAGTTAGTTTATGACTAGATTTTACGGCAATAACACACTGTAATGTGCCACATTTCCCAGTACCAATAGGACAACATCTCAGTTTTTATAAAATAAAAAGAATGAGATAATATGAGATCAAGCAGACAAGGAAATGCCTCTCACCTTGAGAATGTGCTTAGCAGATCTAACCACTATCTCATTGGAGCAAAGATCCCAAAGATGAGGTAAATGTCTGGTCCCCTCAGCCACCTGTTCAAATAAGCCAAAAGGCGTCAAACACACTATCCCAATCACATAACGATAGATTCAGTCATCCTTGCACATTACATTTTATGCAAAACCTTCAAAGGAAAAGAAAAAGTATGATTTCCACAGTTTCTATCCACCAATACTTACAATAGTTAGAAGTATTAATTAAAACAATAATGCTTACTTTTCCAATATAGCGAACATTAATTCCATGAGCATGGAGTGCTTCAGTTAGCGTCTGCCCGTCCATGGGTGATACTTCAAGCGTGCAGAGGTCTTGTATAAATTTTGGAAGCACAACATCTGTAAGATACAAACTGGCTTTCCTCACATTTCCTTCATCTTCTGCTATCTCCTGGAAAAAGGAAAACAAATAAATGGATACATGTTCAAACTCCCTGAAAAAAATTACAAAATCAAAAAAATACCTCCTCATTTCCAGCCAACTTAAACTCGGTGAAGACATTAGGGTTGAAAAGAATTTCTTCACATGGATCAGAGCTTTCAGTGGATGGAGGTGGAGATGCAATTTCTTGTGCGTCTGTGGCATTCCCTTCTTCCGTTATGGCCTGTGAAGAGCAAGCCAAAGAGCCACATCACCAAAATTACTTGAAGCTCATTGGGAAAATGGATAAAAAAAAAAATTGTATACTGTCTGTGCCTAACAGATGAAAAGTGTACCTTTAACACTATTAACAATTTAACATACTATAGGAATTATTACCAGCTCCAAAACAAAAAATTAAAAACCACCTTTCCCATCAAATAGAAACCAATTAGACATAAAAAGTCAACATTAGTAACATACTGAAAATGCAGAAACAAGTAACAAAAATTGCAATGTTCATAAACTCTATAAACCGCAGTTGAAGTAGCTAAATTTTACCTGCTTAGCATCAGTGATGACTGAAGAATCAGTGGTGACAGGACCTTCTCCATCTTTAGACTTAGATTTTGATTTCTCTGCAGCTTGGGCCTTCTCCCAATACACAAAAGGCTCATATTAGAAATTTATGAAACAAATTCAAATATAGTACTAATATAAGGTATTATATCTTACCTGGCAATAGGCAGTAATTAATTCCAGCCTCAAGATACAAAATCTGGACCCAGGTCCAGTGCAGTTTGAATCACGAGGAGTCACTCTCATCAAGTCGAGGAGATAATGCCTGAAGTAGGTAACACAGTTAAAACGTGTGTACTGAATACTGAGTTAGATATATACGAATGTAAATCCTTGATTAAATAATTAAATATTCAACTTATAGAAAGAGATTTTTTGGAGGAAACTATCAACACAGGGCTATGAGAAGTCAACTATCACATATAAGAATCCAAGCTTATGAGGGAAAAAGAAATTTACCTGTCATCACTACCAACAATACCCTTGCATTCCACCGGTGCAGCCAATCTGAAATCATTTCCAGATCCATCAAGGACTGTGTGCTCTTTAAGATGAAGGCGCTTAGCAGCTTCCAGCACCTAAACATAAGAAAATCTTAGAAATTGCACAATAAAGTCTTGTTTTAAAAAGAAAGAAAGAAGTTTTAACATTTGGCAGCAGAATATAATATGCGAAGCTTCAAATCCTCACCTTGGAATGGAACTCTTCATTCCAGCATATTTTCTTGCCATTATCAACAGAACCATATAGAAGAGAGTCTGATTTATCCCCTTGAAGAATGCCCGGTAAAACACTCTGGTGCCAATGAGTTAGAGATAGAACAAGGAGAGAGCAATCAGATAGCAAAAATAATGTTCCTTATTAAAAAACAAAAACAAAAAGTACAATAATATCTAAAGCAAGCATGCCAACTTATTAGAAAATGAACAAAAAAACAATTGATGATTTTTGTTGTGAATGAAAGCATCAATCAAGTTCAGTATTAGAAGGGCAACTTCAACTATAACTACTTTTTCAATGGTTGTGGCTTTCAAAAAGCCTAAAGATGGATTTTAGTAGCAATAGCAATCTCATGATATATAATACAATTAAAATTAATAAGAAATGGAACAGACACATTCATATGCACATGTTTTTGTTGTTGGGGGGGGGGGGGGGGGGGCGGAGGGGGAGGGGGAGGGGGAGGGGGAGGAGAGGGGGGGGAGGGTTTTGTAGCCAGAGTACGAGAGAGAAGTTCAGGCTCTAATAGAAAATTTTCTTCCAAAAAACAAGACCGTTGTAACTTTGTCATTATAGCACAAGAAAACCTATAGCCTTAAGAAAACCAATTTCTGTAGGAGTAAAAAAGTTACTATGCATAGAAGGAACATCAGATTCAAGCACACCTGAGCTACTACTCTATGCCCCCTGTAATCGATTATGGCCATAGCAAGATTATAAAGTCCAGAGACATCAGCTTCCTGGTACGCCTTGGTGCCTTTCAAATCATTATTTGCAGAAGCATAAGTAGCCTGCTCGGTTTCACCCAATTGCGTCTCGGCAGAAACATCAGGGGAGGATTCTGTGGCATCATCGATTGTACTTGATCCTTTGCATTTTTCTCTATTGGGAATTGCACTCTCTCCATGCAACAAATTGTCAGTAGCCTTCTCAGAAGAACTGTGTACAGAAGCAGTGCCCCCTATCTTTGGACTTGAATCTGACGCACGTTTCTTAGACAGCTGCTCAAGGTCCGCATCAACCGCAAAACTGAAGAATATATTATTGTGAACATACCTAGAGCCAAAGAGACCAAAATCTTATATCAATTCAATGAATCTATTATCAAAATACACATGCACTCGTCATGAAAATCGAAGTTACAACCATATGCTTAAGAAATATATTTCCTGGAAAGTACATGAGTACCAAAATTTATCAAAACAAGCATGTCTAATATATAAAGATTACTTAAAGCAGAGCCCCAAAGTTCAAATTCAACGCAGAATCCCTCAAATGGAAATGATGTGCTGATACATCATATTTGCTAATTAGAGTTATAGTAAAAGTGAATAATGTTACATGTATGCATATGCACAAACCAAATAAGTATAACATATTGACAATAGCAGCAGAATTACGGTACAGTGGGATCTAATTAACCTATGCAGCTAAAAAAAATTATTTCAATAGAAGGCAATTTAGGTAGCTAGCATACTGAGGAGCTGTGACATTGTTTTTACAGAGTTATAACAACAACAACAAAGCCTTATCCCACTATGTGGGGTCGGCTATATGAATCTTAGAACGCCACTGCGCTCGGTTTTGTGTCATATACTCCGTAGACATAACATCCTAACTGAAAGTCTTCAGGGATAACATGTATTAAAAAAAACAAAGGTAATCCATTTCAGGTCAGACTAACATGTGGAAGCACTCTGGATCAGTTGGGTTTATAGGAGGTATGCATCTACTAATAACTCCAATAGCACCACTAATAGCTGCATCAACAAAGTCTGAAGTCACTTTGTATAGAGCCCTATCCCGCAAAATTCTGCAAAATATGGACTTTATGAGAGATAAAGACACAATACAAAACACAAAACTTTGAGTGACAAATAATTATCAGAAAATTATGAAGGTCATACATAACTAAATTAGAAGCCCCTTTCATCAATGGAAATCATTACCTTTCCTGAGGAGTTGTATGTGGAAATTCCCTACAAGATTGCAACTCCTCATTCCAATCCCTTTGCATGCCAATTAGCTCACTGCCGTACGAAAGAGTAAGGGCATCCTCTGCTCTAGCTGCATCACGCTTGTGATCTGACAATAGAAGATCCCTTAAAATGAATTTATATGTAAAGATAAAACACACCATCAAGGAAACTCAGAAAACCAACTTCTTTCTGTCTGTAATGGTGTTATAAGTAACAAATACAAAAACACGACAACTCTTAGAAAACAACAACTCCCTAAAATTATAAGTTTCAATAGTCCAAATATTGAAACAAGAACATTAAACACAAAAACTGAATGATTTACATGTATTACGGTTAAACATTCCTACTTAATGATTATTATGAAATTCCTTGTCATTTGTGGATTATTCGTAGCCACAAAAGACATGGAAAAAAAAGAAAGAAAAATACAGGTCAAGCTAAAGGATCCAGTCAAAGAAAACATACAGGTTAAGCTAAACTTTACAAGCATTTAAGACTAAACAATAAACAGTTGTAACATCATAACAAGGTATCATTGAATGGATGAGATTGATTCCTTCAAAATCCACAAATTGAACAAACAAGATTATGACTGAGAATTTGTTAAACTCTAAACTCAAGGCAAAGTCAGATATACTGCCAGCTTAAAAACAACAAGAAACAATTATCATGCTCAAGTATCATAACAAGGCAGGCTTCACATCCATTATACACTAAACCAACACTAAGAGTTAAACTTAAAGTTGTTATAATTTATTCCCTTTATATTTAAGGGAAGAAATAATATTCAGTAATCAGATTGAACATGAAATTTGCATCAAAGTAATCTTTATCAGTAGCAGAAATGCCTGAAGAGGCAACCAGCCAATTGGCCAGACTACCAAACATGCTAAATATGAGATAAGAGTTTGCCCAAGCAAAGCAAAACTTTCTACAACCAGAAGATCCTCCCTTTGAAATAAAATTCGAGTGCAATTAAGTTCAACTAACCTGGAACTGGATATAACCCTAGCCATGAATTTGGTGGCAACAAAGACTGAACATTTTCAAAAGGATGTGCAGATGCCCTCCGCTCCAAAATTTCACGAAAAGCTTCAAATGGGAAACAATAGAAGATAATTAATAAAACCTCTGTACGGTTCAAAATTTTAGAAGAAACAATAAACAATTTCATGAAAAAGCTTCAAATAGGAAACAATAGAAGATAATTAACAAACCTCTGTATGCTTCAAAATTTTAAAGGAAACAATAAACTAATACAGGTAAATAAGGTATAAACCATTTATAGTACCTTTTTTGAACTTAGAGCTAACATTTTGCAAAAGTCCAACAAGTGTGGTTGCTTCCCAATTACTTTTACTTGGCTTAGGGTCAAGAGTGTTCCCCATGCTCGAATTGACATAGAACATTTTTGTAGTCCCAGTAATACAGTGTTTATTGCCCTCCAATGTTACTATATCCAAATAAATCAAATCCCCAACAAGCCTGGCAACAAAAAGGCCAAACAGTACATAGTTAAGACATTTTACAGGGGGAAAATACATTATTTTTATGTTTTCAGATGCAAGTAAGAGATTAGAGATGTCATGGTTCACCTTCTATAGCTTGGCGGAGGATTGAAGGATGAAAACACAATACTCTCCACACATTTTATCTCTTTTGAGGGTGAAGATAGCAAATTGCTCAATGAACCAGCAACATCCTCCATAAAACCCAAACCATCAAGCCCTGGGACCTCAGTTTTCACAGTATCTAGATCACAGAAAATTAAAGGAGTGCCTAGTTAAAGCACTTCAAAATGTCGATAAAAGGTAAGATAAATGAGAAGATTATGGATTCATGTTAAATTAACTATATCTCAAACCTCCAGGGCTCGCCACTTTGTTTTGTGCTGTCTCATACTGTAATGCAAGTGACGTTGATAGTGATGCATGAAGTGTAGAAAGGGAAAGCAATTCTCTCGTACGATGAACATGAGCCCTTATAGATCTATCATCGTATAAAGCTGCCAAAAAGATATTTAAATTAGATACCTTTTTTAAGAATTTATAAGCCCAAAGCAACAGAGATTTAGTATACCAGGAACCATCTCCAAGGAGCAACCACCAACGGTAATATCAGCAACTTCGGAAATTTCATTAAAGTCTTCCAAATGATGAGTGGAGCCATCCTTTGTGTGTAGCAATAAGTCATAACATGTGAAGAAACATGTCTCTGGCGCATCAAGCAGAAATTGTCTTATATCCATAACAGAGTCTCCTGGGTTCAACTGGAAATTATAATGGATATGGTCAAACAAATGTGACAGTGGAAGGACGCAAATATCTAACTAGAAGACATAGACATCTCAATTTCTGTAGTTAAACTATTAGATGTGTCAACTAACATATGAGAACAGGTGCTCAAATTGCATTAGCTTTTGATTTTGCAGCCAATTAAATAATTAGTGATATTAATAGGCTAATAGCAATATATGATCAAAACTAACTCACTTGTAGCTCAAGCTTCTCAGCACTTTGTGTCTTGACAGAAACTGGATACAGATGAAGGTCACCTGCACTCTCACAGACAAGGATTATCAAAATGAGATAGACAGCTGTTCTATAACCAAATGAGAAAACTAAGGTGCTGCTAATATAAAAGACATATATACAAACTGCTGTTGAAGGAAAATAAGCTGGACAGACAAGCTTTATGAGCATTCAATCATGACCTACTACTGTGAAGAAATACAGCCATTATTTGCACAAAACTAAGGGAATCCAGCAAAAGTGATGCATTGGAATTGCCTCTAAAGAAGTGTCAAACATGAACATACATCCAGATATCCTTTGTTGAACAAAAAAAAGGCTCAACACATATAAGGTTTATCATCAAAAATTTCAGGGCATCGCTAAAATCCTGTGTCAGAGAAAAGTTCTTTTCTATGACACCAATGCAACAACAAAATGAGACACTTGTCATTTACCTAGAAATGTAACTATTTTTCTACCTTATCTAAATTATCTAGGCAACCATGATTAGAGTATACAAGTACCTGCACACATGTGAGTTTATGTATGTTGGCATCTACATTGCTTCTCATTGCCTTCATGTGGTAAAATTTTTGTTCCATTGAAAAGGAAATAGGACATTTTAAAGATTTGAGAAAATGTTGAATATGGGAATGGCATATCAACTAGAAGTTTTCCCCAGAAATAAATATTTGAAAGCCCATAATACTAAAAATTCACCTTGCTTAGGTTGGCTGGTTGAACTTTCGGTTTCAGACTCCTTTACCACCAGACTGGCATCAGTTAATTCCTCCACAGCTGGAACACCATTGTCTTCAGCTTTAACGGGCTCTGAAGCGCTTGAGTTATCTTTCACAGGAGCATCAGATGGGACCACAGGATTGATCGCCCCTCTACGGTTCTTCCCTTTATTCGACTTTCCAGCCATTGTCACCCCCTATTCTGCAGATATTGTCAAAACGCCCAAGTCATAAGCACCCTATTTTCATAAGCAATAGCGAGAAAGTACTCCTACTGTTTTGCCTTTATATTGCTTTTATACATTTCTCATATAAATACCCAATTCGAAAACATGGAAAGCCTCCATCTTTCCTACTAATTAAAAAAATGCATACGGACTCGAACAAAGATAAAGGGGAATAAATAATTAATGTGCATAAACAATTGATCCTTTTGGCTGCCAAGAAATTGATAGAAAATGAAAACAATCAAAAATTCAACCTTCCAGTTTCTTCATTTTGCAAACAATTTAAAGAAAGGTAACATATAACTTTCAATCAAATGAACCAACAACAACTGTTCATTCATTCCCTATGAATCAAGCTTTCATTCCCATGCGTCTATTTTCTCGGGAATCAAACGGAAGATTAAGAGAAAGCAAACGGATAGAATAAGAGTGAGTACAAATATATTACCTGCAACTGTGTAACGATTATATAAATATATATCTCTGTGCGGAGAGATGGTAGACGTCGGCAGCAGGGTTTTAGGAGGGCTAGAGCGAGGCTGGGGAGTGAGAGGCGGCGAAGTCTCTCTTTATGTGAGAGAGTATGGAGATGATTCTTAATAACTTGGCTTAACAACTTGGCGATCCATTGGGTTGGGCTTTTCGTATTTATTTCGATTTTTATGGCTGTAAAACTATTTTTTATAACTATTTTTACTTTTTAACAAATTTATATGGATGCTTTCTCACTTTCTTTCCCATTTTTGTATACAATTCCACCTAACTATTAACAAAAAAAGACAAACATGGATTGGATAAAACATAAAAAAGTTGGTAAACCTGGCTTTCCACGACTAGCCTCTCTCTACCGTTCTATACGAAAGAGAAGCATTTTCTTATTACATTAAAATTGTGAAATCTTGTCCCCACATTTCACTCTCATATTTTCAATAATTTATTGTTATTTTCGTTAAAATTTGTATTTTTGGTTAGCTAGTTAAAGTTTGATTTTCGTAGTTAAAAATAATAATTTGTAGACCTAATGGGCCACAATTATAAATTTTTTATAGAGCTCGATTCTACAAGTACGTAGGTGAAAACCGCTCGTAAGATAAAGTTATAACGAATGAGTTATTAACAAGCAAGGGTAAGGGCAAAATAGTAATCTTCACTTATCTCTATATATATCAGGCTCATAGATGTTGGACCCAACTCTCATTTCTTGGAAAACTGAACCCGTATACGCTGACTTTAATTGGCGATGAGACCCGATTTTCTACATATTCTAGACTCCGACAAAGGTATAACATCTCGTCCTTATGATGAGATTTACATTTTGGTATAATTTGACTTTGTTTTGGAATTCGCAGAAATCCGACAAAGGCTTTTGCCGTTGATCACCATGTACAACAGCACGTGAGGGCGGCGTTGGGCAGTGACCTAGTGCAGCGTCTCAAAGCTAATTTCGATGCTCTAAATTCAATTTCAATATATGTTTGTCGAGATTCGAATCGGTGAACGTGTTGTATCAATAGTAAGCTAAGTAATATTTGTACACTTTGATAGGTGTTGGAGGAGATATAATTTTTTTTCTATTAGCGTGCTTTCGAGATTGCAATTGTTTTGGAACTTTATTAGAATTATTTCTTAGAACTAGTAGATAACAAAATTCCTTGTGATGTGCTTATGTGTGATTAGATACTTGCTTTCTATTTGTAATTGATAATGTGTGTGACGAATATGTAGATTAAGCTTGATTGATGTATGATGTGCATTGATGAGACTGCATCATGTAGCAATGTGATACATGAAGGTCCTGCTTAGTAAATCAGCGATGGAGGACTATAAGCATTTTAGGGGTATCATGCTTGGTAAATATGTGACGAGGATCACTGCCAACTTAATGTTACAATGAGTGGTTGTGGACCTTGTGGTTGATAAATCCGCGATGAGCAACAACCTCCTAAATAGGATTCCATTGAATTGGTATAGAATTCTACTTTTACATTGTCCCTTTGAGTTGGTCAGGAACCTTATTTTTTACGGATTCCATTGAGTCGGTCGAGAATCATACTTTTTATATGGTTCTGTTGAATTGGTCCAAAACCATGCATCATATAGATTCTATTGAGTTGGTATGGAATCCTACTTCTTATAACTTTGAGTTGGTCTGTAACTCCATCGTTTGGATTCCATTAAGTGGTTTTGGAATCTCACTTCCGACCTAGTTCCATTGAGTGGTTTTAGAACCTTCTAATCAGTTTGGTGGTTCTGGAATTGAGTTGTTTTAGGACTTTATGTTTTCCTCCCAGATGGTTCCATGAAAGATTCTGGAACCTATAAAATGTAGACTTGAGCTTAACTAAACCACCCTAGGTCATATGTGTATAGAAAGACGAGTCATGATGTGTTAGCATTAAAAAACTCGTGATAATGAATAATTATATAGGTTTTTAATGTTTAAGTAATGATTAAATGATGTGTTAGCCATTTAGTACTATAATTTAGTGGTATTCCCCTTCACTTGTAAGTGAGAGGTCTTAGGTTCGATGTTGTTTAAATGCAAATTTGAACCACATTATTGCTAGCCCATTGTAAATCTAAGCCCACCCATTCTCTTAGTGTAGTTAATATCATGTGTTGAAAAAAAAAAAGTAATGATTATAAGGGTAGTTTTGTCTTTTTAAGAATGATGTGTAAGTGAAATAAAATCTTGGGGTTAGCGCAATTTTTTAAACCTAAAGAGGTTTTGTGAAAACTAGACAAATTTCAAGGAATGTTAGTGTGACCTTGTGATGAGGAGGTGTCCAAAGAAGTATGGTGTTTGGTGAGTCCGAATCCTCGCCAGATCTTCTTTGTGAGAATTATGATGATTTCTGAATTGTATTAATTCATCGTATATTGTACGGGTTGGGTGACCACATTTTGGCAGTAAAGCATAATTAAGACGTTCAAATTACACGAGACGTGTTTGGACTATGTGGTTTGTAAATCTCGAGCCAGCCCAATCATTCTATTGGGCTTGTGGACCGAAGGAATTATGCTAACGAATCCACTTGAGTTACCAAAATCCACGTGTCAGGATAGTACAGAACACGGAAAGGAAAGCGAATCAAACAACATTATGACACGCACTCAAACGTTTGACGCTTTTAAAATGCGAACATTAGAAAGCACCAAAAACAGAAACAAAAATAAATAGAAAAATCTCCCGCCATCCCCATAAACATTTATAAACCCTCGAAAAATCAAGAATCTGGTATCAAATTTTTTGATTTGGGGTCGAGAAATGGATCTGACGGTGGTAGATCTGAGCGCGTACTTGGAATCGGAAGAGGGCGGAGTGGAGGAGTTGTGCGGCGAGGTGAGTCGGAGTCTGAGAGAAACGGGAGCTTTGTTGGTCAAGGATCCCAGATGTACGGCGGATGACAACGATCGCTTCCTTGATATGATGGAGAGGTACTTTGACAGTCCGCGGAGTTCAAGCGACTCCAGGAGAGGCCCCAATTGCATTACCAGGTGGGTTCTGCACTGTTTGTTTCCCGAGAAAATGTTGCCCGGAAATGGAAAAAAGAATGAAAATTTTGAATTTTGAAACCCAGTTCGGTGATTACCGATTGGGGGTTCATCTGGGTACCCTTTTGATTTTGATTTTATCCATTTTTTTATCACTTGTATTTCAATTTGTATGCTTTTGCTGTGACTCTGAAAGTGTGTAAATATAAGTGATTTGTGGTGTGAAGTGAAATTGTCAAATTGGGTTTTGTTGCTCAAACTTGGAACTTGAAACGGGGTTAACGCATTACAGGTTGGCGTGACACCGGAAGGCGTGGAAGTCCCCAGAAGCCTTGTTGATGAAGAAATGCAGGAGAAATTGAAAGAAATGCCCAAAGAGTTCCAGCCATCCATCCCCAAAGGGGCAGATCGCAAATGGCGATACATGTGGAGGGTGGGTCCTCGACCCTCGAAAACCCACTTTCAGGTCTCATTCTTTCTTTGCTTTTTTGAGTTTCACTTTGCAGTTTGCACAAACATTGTTTAAAAGTCTATGCTTATTGTTCTACTTGCCATGATCAAGATGATGTTATTCTTGTTTTCTAGGAACTTAATGCAGAGCCAGTCGTACCCGAGGGGTTTCCTGAATGGAAAGATACCATGGATTCATGGGGTTACAAGATGATTTCCGCAATAGAGGTGAGCCACTGATCTGTGTTGTCAGATTGTTCAAGCTGCTTGCTTGTTGTGCACATTATCCAATATTATCAAATGTTCATCACGTAAATGTTTCTTTCTTTCCAGGCTGTTGCTGAAATGGCTGCCATTGGATTTGGCTTGCCAAAGGATGCATTCACTTCTCTTATGAAGCGGGTGAGCAATAATTGCCAATTGAAACTTACATTCATGTCTATATGCCTGTCTGACTTTAGTGGTGGGGCAGTGGATATTGAAATCAAATGAAAAAGTTATGATTACCGGTGGCCTAGTCTGACAGTAATCACCAGTATCCTTCATTTCCGTGCCGTGCCAGCTTCTATATCCATCACTTTTTCTATCTTTAGCCACAGTACCCACATCTTTGTTCCCAAATTCAAGTTGCATTCTATTGAATGGCTTTTGCATTGCTCCATAATGCCACTAGAATTTTATTTCATAACACTTTTTAGTTTTATTTTGTTTTTTCTTTTTGTAAAGACGAGTTTGGACTGGTTATATTCTTCAATCACTGTATGACTTTATCAAATACATTGCATTGTGATTAGGCATAGAGCTATAGCATGCTGCAATTTCAAAAATCACCAACTTTTGAATTGATTCATAAAATAGATTCTCGTCCTTCCACTTGCCATTTTCCTGGCTTTATGCGCTTTATGCTGCACTTTATGTTGAGTGCTCTTTCTTTTTGAACCCAGGGGCCACACCTTCTAGCTCCAACAGGAAGTGACCTTCGGCGTTATGGCCAAGAAGGTACTGTGTTTGCAGGATATCACTATGACCTGAACTTTCTAACTATTCATGGCAGAAGTAGATTTCCCGGTCTGAACATTTGGTTAAAAAATGGGCAAAAAGTTGAAGTCAAGGTTCCTGTAGGATGTCTTCTCATTCAGACCGGGAAGCAGGTAATACTATTTATAACTATTGTGCTTGGTACTTATTGAATAATTTACAAGTTAGTTGACCACCTGAATATGGTGTCTGTCATTAGAAAGCAATTTGGATTACCGTTGCATCAATTAAATTAAACACATTTTATATTTTCTTCAGTGCCTAACTTTTGAAAGACAAAAATTTGAACTTTAATTTAACTACAGGAACAATATCGTGTGTAATATATTTCTGGTTGTACTTAAAATTGACAACGGAAGGGGCGTTGCGTTTTCATCCATGTAGCCTCTGTTATATCATCATTTTTGTAGATTTTTAATAGTACATATCAGAATAAAATAAGATTATGCACGTCTTATGGTTAAAAGATAAAATGGAACGTATTTTAAACATTTAAATAGGTTTGCTAATTGTACGCAAAAAGCTAAATGTGTTCAAACTTAATTGTAACAAAGAAAAAGTTAGGTGTGTCAATTTTTTGTTCGAGTTCTCGCTTGATTTGAATTGCTGTTTTAGGTTGGTTGCCTTTGGTATGTGTTGTGTTTTAAATATTTAAGCTAGTTCTATTCCATTCACACAATTTGTTATGTGCAGATAGAATGGTTGACTGCAGGTGATTGCATAGCTGGAATGCATGAAGTTATCGTAACAAACAGGACGATTGATGCAATCAAACTTGCAACAGAGCAAAGTCGCTTACTATGGAGAGTATCTTCAACAGTGAGTGAAGCCAGTCACATTGTTGTCATTGCTATCGTTATGTTCTTTTCGGTTTTATATAACTAAAAATATTTTAATGCATTGTATGCTTATTTGTGACATTTCTTGCCATGTAGTTGTTTGCACACGTAGCATCTGATGCTGTGTTGAAGCCCTTAGGTCACTTTGCAGAATCCCCGCTCGCAAGTAAATACCCGCCCATTTATGCAGGAGAGTTTGTTGAACAAGAGCTTGCAGTAATCAATCTCAAAGGCAACAAAGAATAAGTTTGGTAACTTGTTACATGTGAAGATCATAACATATTATGTCAACGATCAGAATGGCATTATGAAGAGGCGTTTGGGGATGATATGAATTGTAATAAAGAAGGTTGGGATGATAGAAACTGCGGCCAATTGTATCGTGTCATTATTTATCGTTGTATCGTTTACTGACATTCCTTTGTTCCTCGAGCAATTTGAGTTTTACCATTTCATTGCATTCTTGAACATCTAGTTTTGGTTTCTTACTCGTCTTGAACTGTCTTGATTTGCAACAAAAGTTGAAAAAATATGCTTCAAATCTGCAGCCATTTCCTCTGAAAACGAACTGAAATCATTACGAAGCATGCGTTTGAAAGGTGCTGGAGGTTTTCTGAGTGATTTTCGTAGTCGATAGGATGAAGAAACTGATTAGAGATAATCTGGAAAATTATAAATAAAGTTATAGGAAATGCAAAGGGTCATGAAATTTGAGTTCAACAACTACAACAACCAGCACACAATGTGTATTCCTTGACTAGCTTTTGTATACAGCTGAGCAGCAGAGCTGGAGAATACTGGCATCATAGGTGTGACCTTTGAGTAGGATGGACATGCATGATGGCATGAGAGCCTCATCATCCCCTATAAATCCGAATTCGAGACACCTTCTCCCTAACATTAACGAAACATAATTCACAATTAATCTTAGTTCCAACTTTCAGTTAAGATGAGGTTTACTAGCAGGAAAAATATCGCTCTTTCAATTTTGACTGTTTGCGTTCGTGATGGCGGGTTTGGTGGATCAAGGGCAGGGAAGTACTTGTGCAAGCACCTTCTTCTCGGCACTAGTTCAGCTAATACCATGCAGAGCAGCAGTTGTTCCTTTCAGCCCCATCCCCCCGAGCGAGACATGCTGCGGTGCCCTCAAAGCTCTTGGCCAGCCTTGCCTCTGTGTGCTCGTCAATGGCCCTCCAATCTCTGGCGTTGATCGCAGTATGGCCATGCAGCTCCCGGAGAAGTGCAGCGCCAACTTTGAACCATGTACCTTCTAGCTCCTCGGGCACACTTTTTCGATCCGGTACTAATTAGTGAAATCGCTAGACGATGAGGCAACTATTTTCATATTGCAGCCGTTGTTTATTTCTAAAAATTTAGGATCGATCAGTCTATTTTTCTTGACGCAGGTAACATTATGATTTAGAAGTTGAAGCTTGGAGCTGAGGAGCATATTTTCTAGCTTGAATAAATGTGTTATATTTTCATAGGCTGCTGTTAACAATAAGACGCTGTGTGCTGAGATATATCAGCACTGAATCGTGTCGGTTTTAGCTTAATCTAGGATTTGTGTTCTTTGTAATTTGATTTCCGATGTCATAGATTGCTATTCCGTTTTAATAATCAAGTATTATTTATCTTTACTACATTCCTAATCACTTGTAATGTTTGGCTTTGGTGACACAACAATGAAGAGATGCGGTGAATTCTGCAACATGCATCATTCTGGTAAGCAAGAAAGGAGATTGCTCACAGCACCAACTTAAACCATCCATATGCCTAATCCTACTTGTCTTAAACAAAAGTTTACACTAATCTTGTTTGAATCTCGGTCAGCGTTTGCGCAATTGACTGCCACAAGGAATCACATTTCGTGACCCTTCCCTACTTGCGCAAAAATTGACACTAATCTTATTTATCACATTGCTGACATCTTTCATAGAGGTGAGAGTAGAGAGAGTGGATTCTAACGGATATAGAAAACGGTGCATATATTCAACCAAATCATTAAAAGATACAGGGATTATACAATTGAAATTTCAAATTGCACCACAACAATCTCAACTAACACAAGAAAAATTTGTACCGCAGATGTCCAGGGTAAATTGTAAACATACACGTTGACTGATGGCATTCATTAGAGAGTGACAGTTGCAATTGTAAAGACTCAAGGTTGCACAGCCTCCAGAAGTTTCTCATATACTTGCCTAGCAGACAAATCCTCTACCTGAAACAATCACCAAATGTTAAGGAAGAAACCCTAGCAAGATCAGTTAAATTAGTTTAAGCAGTTTTGGAGTTACACTGGCATATGTCACATATCCTTGAACAACTATATGGGGTTCTCTGCATACGTTGCTTCTAAATTCATGCTGCCGTTACTTGTGATTGCTATTATTTGTAAACAGTACCATTACTTTGATAAGCTATCCTATCCTAAGTTTGAAAGAGTAGATGTATCATGTATTTGTGCATCAAGAAACAAATCAGTGAATTGGGTCTGACATCAAAGTTAATGCATACAACGATGGAGAACTTCTTTTGACAAAAATGATATTGCTCTCACAGGGACAATTGAAACAGATTATGATCAACAACACCCAAGAAGCCACCCAATGAGCGAATGAGAGAGCGAGAGAGAGATAGTAAAACTTGTTTAACTCACCGCAAGGAGTTTTGATTTGTTATTCCACCCTCTCTGAAGAGTCATCTGGCTTAGTCTCAGACCCAACACCTGTGCAAAAAGCAATTGTGTTAAGGCTTAAGTTGACACTTGTTCCAAAAGATTGGAATCCTATAAGTTTAACAGACAACGATGAAGCAGAATTATACTTTGGCCATGAATTCCAAGAGCTCATTGTTCGCTTCTCCCCGAGCAGCAGGTGCAGCTACAGTGACTCTAACATCGTCAGCATTCACTCCTGGCATAAGAGAAAAAAGTGTTTAAACAATCAGCAATCTAAATTTCCAGGAACAACTTTCTTTTGGCAAGTATTATTACATATTAAAACTGCCAGCTACAAGTGTTGTAATAAGATGCATAGAAACATCAAAAAGGACTAGTACTTGCCATACAAGAAATCCAAAAAGTCAATTCATGTATATGCAGGAAATTCTGACTTATGATTGCAATTTGACCTACCAAGAAAGCATCGCATGCTGAATAAGATGACAGGAAAACATTCAATAATTTCTCTTACTTGTGATTGCTGACCGTTGTGCACGATCTTCCACTTCTATAGCAACTTGAACAAGTCCCCCTTCTAGGTTTGATATACAGGGCGGCACAGGAGCATCCTACACACACCAATTAGGAAATATGGACAGAGTGAATATATGTGGACGTTCATAAAAAAAACTTCCATTGACAACATTGCAATAGGGACTTGCTATGCCTTCAGGAACAAATTCCTTAATTTCTGAGACAAAATCTACGTTCGCAACCCAAAAGATGAAGGACAAGGAAGATCAATGAGACATAAACAGCTATTTCCCTTTATTTATAGAAAATATTCCTTTTCCAAAATCCTGGTACCACACAAGACAATTATATTCACAAGATGATGGAAAATGCCTTTGTAAATTTCCTATATACCTGTGGGTTGGTTTCAGCAGCAACTGTGCTTAGAGAACCATCAACAACATAAATGAAAGAAGCACCTTCCAAGTCTTCTTCCGAGCGGTAGAAAACAAAGAGCCCACAACCCACACAGTTCATTCGAAACTGCTTCTCCAATTTCCCTTCCCCTCTGAATAATTATATCAACCAAGATTTCAAGGCATCAGCAATGTTGCAAAATCATTATAATCGTACTCGAAAAACTAATCATTAGAAAAGTACAGGAAAACGAGGGTCGGTGTCAAACACACACAGTGAAAACACCGAATTTATATTTGGATTAAAGAAAATTAAGCACCTTTTCAATAAAACTTTTCCAGCCTCAGCAATGTTGAGCCTTGCAAGATGTTTGCTCTTGTCCAACACATAAGCCTTGTCCGTCTTCCTTTTCGGCATTTTCTGCAACTGGGTATCTTAAACAACATATATTTCACTATAATCGCAAAATTGCAGGCCCCAAAACATTATTCAAGAAACTTTTTCCAAAACCAACGATTATACCAATACAAAAATACCAATTCAAATCAGCGTTACCCAATTTTTAACTTTCAATCTTATAAATTTCTAATCATACAAGTACAAACAACACAAATATATACCTCTATATCTATATTTATGTATAGAGGAGAGAGAGAGTGAGAGAGAGAGTAGAGAGAGAGAGGAGAGAGAACCAGTTATGAGGAGGTGGGATCCACAGTGCTTGCAGTAATAAACGAAGAGGTCAGAGTCGGGTCCATCCGGAGCTGCGTCCTCGCTCGAGTACGTGTGTGTTGTTCTCTTCGGCATTCTGTCTTCTCTCTCCTCTTCTTCTTCTTCTTCTTACCGCTCCCGCTGCTGGAAATTGGGAATTGCTCGAGCTCGACGACGGCGGGTGACGCTATCAGCGCGCAAAGTCCAAAACGACAGCGTTTCGCGCGTCATGTTGTTTGTTTCGCACCGATTTTTATTTAAACTTGTTGGGCCATACCCTGGCCCAATTAGACGATTCCGCGTATACCCAGAAATCCCAATTGCCTATAAAACTGATAGAAACCCTAAAAATCTCCACCTCTTACTCTCTGTCGCTCTCACTCCGCAGCTCTCTCGCTCTTCAGGTATGCTCAGATCCATGGCTTAAGATCCTTACTTTTTATCTAATCATAGTGCTTTTGGCTATATCGTTCATGAATCTGTCTATTTATTGAAGTTTGTTTTTCTCCGATGTTTTTTTTTGTTTAAATTTTGTTTTAATATGGATGCAATTGGTTGCTTTCGATTCATAATTTTTTTTTCTTCCGAAAAGGGATTTAATTTTCTAGTAATTGAATATTTGGCACTGATTGGTAATCATCTAGGGATGAAAGACTTAATTTTTTCTGATATGGGTTGCAGGAAAAACCACCGGAAGACCTAGCAATGGCAGTCACATTCTTTGACGTGAACTCAGCTGCCGGCCTGAAGAAACTTGATGACTACTTGCTTTCTCGCAGTTACATTACTGGCTATCAGGCTTCCAAAGACGATATCACTGTGCATGCTGCTCTTTCCAAGGCCCCGTCTTCGGAATTTGTGAATGTGTCTAGGTGGTACAACCACATTGCTGCTCTTCTTAGGATTTCGTAAGTTCGTAAAACTTTTGATGGGTTTGTTATCTGTTTGTTATTAGTTCTAATGGATTTCTTTGAAACGTGTATGTTTGCGTGAACACTTTGACTTATTTGATTATATTCATTGTTGTAGTGGTGTTTGCGGAGAAGGATCTGGTGTCACTATTGAGGGATCTGCTCCCATAACCGGGGAAGCAGTTGCTACCCCTCCTGTTGCTGACACTAAGGCAAGTATTTTTCTTCCCTACTTACCAAGTGGTTTTTTGGATGTCTTCAGTTTATGTTTCCTTATCACTGTTTTAGGATAATTGAATTTTTCGAGGTTGGACTATGTTGCTTTATCAGCTTGAAGAACTTGGATGACATTGTTGTACTAATGTTTTAGAATATGATATGATTTTCAGGCCTCAGCTGCTGAGGACGACGATGACGATGTTGATCTCTTTGGTGAAGAGACCGAAGAGGAGAAGAAGGCTGCTGAAGAGCGTGCGGCTTCCATCAAGGCATCTACAAAGAAGAAAGAGTCTGGCAAGTCATCAGTTCTGTTGGATGTGAAGCCATGGGATGATGAAACTGACATGAAAAAGCTTGAGGAGGCTGTAAGAAGTGTCCACATGGAAGGCTTGCTTTGGGGAGCATGTAAGTTCTCCTTCATCTAAGGATTATTTGTTGCTAAAGGGGACAGATTTACTTAAAACAATGTTAGCAACAATTTTGCCGTTGTTGTGCACATATTAAGTTATTATTGTGCAAGCTAATGTTTAATTGTACAAATTTTAGTCCCTGATGCGAATTCGGTTATTATTTTCTTAATTGTGCAGCCAAACTCGTCGCTGTTGGGTACGGGATTAAGAAGTTGCAAATAATGATGACAATTGTTGATGACCTGGTCTCTGTTGACACTCTCATTGAGGAGCAACTTACTGTTGAACCAATTAATGAGTATGTCCAGAGTTGCGACATCGTAGCCTTCAACAAGATATGTAAGTATATTTGTAGGTTTTTGCATTGTGCTGGAGTATAAATGCATCTTTACGGTATTAATTTACGCTTACCCTTGTTTTTGTTGCAGGATTGGAGCTTGCAGACGTGTATTTTGTTTCTGGCGGCATGATTTGAGACATTATATTTGGTTTTAATGTATTTGCATTCCCTTGATGAATAGTTTCCGAAGCTGTTTGCTTGTTTGGTATGGTTTCAGTTACTGTTGAAAACATAATTTCAGTTTTGTTATGGTGGTTTTTGGTAGCTTGTTTCTGCTTGACTTTGATGTTGATCCTTTTAGTTCTCACAAGAATTCAGTGCTTGTCGATCCTTTTGATCTTTATCAAAGAATTTAGCAGATCTTTCTCAAAGAACTTAGTATAAGTCTTTTAATATGAATAAATGGATCGTGTTTGTTTCCATTTGTTTTTCTTTGTATCAGAATATTCTTTTT